AAACAGGAAGAACTGGAGGCCCTGGCCCAGGCCAAGAAATATGATTTAATTGAGATAACAGAGACTTGGTGGGATGACTCACATGACTGGAGCACTGTTATGGAAGGGAATAGACTGTTCAGGAAGAACAGGCAGGGGAGAAAAGGAGGAGGAGTTGCACTATATGTAAGAGAGCACTATGATTGCTCTGAACTCCAGTATAAAGAGGGACAAAAACCTGTTGAGAGTCTATGGGTTAAGTTTAAAGGAGCAAACAGCAGCAGTGATGTTGCGGTTGGTGTCTGCTACAGGCCACCGAATCAGGTGGATGAGGTAGATAAGGCTTTCTTCGGACAACAGAGAGAAACTTCCGGATCGGAGGCCCTGGTTCTCGTGGGGGACTTTAATCACCCTGACATCTGTTGGGAAACCAATAAGGCGGTACACAGGCAATCCAGGAAGTTTTTGGAGAATGTTGGGGATAACTTCTTGACACAAGTGCTCAAGGATCCGACCAGGGGCCATACGCAGCTTGACCTTCTGCTCACAAACAGGGAGGAACTAATAGGGGAAGTGGAGGTGGGTGACAACCTGGGAAGCAGTGATCATGAGATGGTAGATTTCAGGATCCTGACCAAAGGAAGAAAAGAGAGTAGTAAAATACACACCTTGGACTTCAAAAAAGCAGATTTTGACTCCCTCAGAGACCTGATGGGCAGAATCCCCTGGTATGCTAACATGAAGGGGAAAGGAGTCCAGGACAGCTGGCAGTATTTTAAAGAAGCCTTATTGAACCCCGAAGTGTAGCAAGAGAGGCAAACATGGTAGGAGACCGGATTGGCTTACAGGGGAAATCCTTGGTGAACTTAAGCACAAAAGGGAAGCTTACAAAAAGTGGAAACTTGGACAAATGACCAGGGAGGGGTTTAAATGTATAGCTCGAGAATGCCAGGGGGTTATCAGGAAGGCGAAAGCACTGAAGGAATTGGGTTTGTTTAGTTTAGAAAAGAGAAGATTGAGGCGAGACATGATAGCAGTTTTCAGATATCTAAAAGGAGGAGCGAGAAAACTTGTTCATCTTGGCCTCTGGGGACAGAACAAGAAGCAATGGGCTTAAACTGCAGCAAGGGAGGTTTAGGTTGGACATTAGGAAAAAGTTCCTAACTGTCAGGGTAGTCAAACAGTGGAATAAATTGCCCAGAGAGATTGTGGAATCTCCATCTGTGGAGATATTTAAGAGTAGGTTAGATAAATGTCTATCAGGGATGGTCTAGACAGTATTTAGTCCTGCCATGAGGGCAGGGGACTGGACTCGATGACCTCTCGAGGTCCCTTCCAGTCCTAGTATTCTATGATTCTATGAACCTCAAAAGCTGTATGCAGAAAATGAAGTTCAGGATGGTCACTCTAGACACTATAATTCCCTGTCTGGATCCAGGAGACTGGTTCGCTGCCCTCATGTATTTCCACATTTCAGACCTTCCTTGTCACAGGCATTACCTCAGATTTACAATAGCAGGAGAGCACTACTAATTTGTAGTGCTACCATTTGGCCTTTCCTCAGATCCATGATCATTTACCAAATATATGGTGGTGGCAGTGGCCTTCCCCTGAAAGAGGGTAGTGCACGTTTTCCTTTACCTGGACAATTGGCTAATAAAAGCACCTCAAGAGCTCAGCTCCTGACCCCCTTTGATTCACATGTTCATGGCCCATTACGCAACTGATAAATCCTCCAGGGAGGATGCAGCAGTTGGTAGAGCAGTATTGCAGTCCATGATTCCGAACTCTGATCCCACCTCTGGGGTAGCAGCTTGGGAGTCACCTGAATTGGAATCGATGTGAACAATCACTCAAAGAAGAAAAGAAAGTTATCTGGTTTCGTAACTGGCGTTCTTTGAGATGTATTCTTTATGTCCATTCCAATACCCACCCTCTTACCCACTGCTGGAGTAGCCGACAAGAAGGAACTGAGGGAGAGTAGGGTCGGCAGTGGTGTATACCTGCTGATATAGAGCTGCCACTCTAGGGGTCTCCACAGATGATTCTACGGGTACTACTAGGGAAAAAGTTTCCAATGTTCCTGTACGCGACATGCGTACACCTGAATTGGAATCAACATGAACAATCACTCAAAGAACAACCAACCTTTCCAGTGCTGTAAGAAATTTCTCCACTACAACCGTGTAGCTGCAACCCCACAAATGTGCCACGACAGTGTAAACATGCGCTAGTACTCTGTGCATAATATGCTAAGGAAGTTAAGGAATGAGTGGTTTGCTAATTGTATAGTCGATACAATTGGCGTTGACCACACAATTAGTCAGTAAGGGGAGGTGCTCTGAAGAGCACTGGCAACTCGTGCTGGCTCTGGGAGTCACCTGGCATCTCGTACTACATTTAAAATGTAGAGGTGCAGTGGTCCCAGACTACAGTGAGCCAGGACTGCTCGGTCCAGCAGCCCCCACTGGGACCCCTCATGACCAGGGGAAGCTGCTGGAGCAGCCTCCCCTACCTCCCTCCCCTTGGGGGGGAGGGAAGGAGGTGGAACTGCGGAGACAGTGCTGAGGGGGAACCAGCCTTTAAGTCAGCTCCCCCCAGCATCAGCTCCTGTTTTCCCCCGTTGCTGTCTCTCATCCAGAGGCAGTAAGGAGTGGGGAAAGCTAGTAGTCAAGTACTCACTCACATCCCTATAATATTCCACTCTTTTACATAATATTTTTAAAAGATCTGGTTAGGCAGGGCAAACAGACATATGCTTTAATCAACAATCACTAAGATATTGCAGTTTCTATGTAATATGTCTGGTTGATTGGAATGGTATCCCAAACCTGCCTAGAATGTTTTAAGAGGTTTAAGACAACACAGGAGTTTTCTGTAAGGGAAACTGACATGTAGGAAAATAAGACATTCTGAGAGGAAAAGACAACTGTGAAAGCTTGGAACATGATAACTATCAGCAAAATTCCCTGGCTGCAAGTTCAAAAGGAGGATTGCACCAACTGTAGCAACACAGAGCAGAGTGCAGCATGAACATGCTAGAAGAGCCAGCATTTAAAGAGACACCATACTTTGAGAGGTTCTTTACGCAGCTCGTTTACCTACCGACAGATTATTTATAGCACACAGCTAAATGTTCTTGCTTGATGTTAAAGATGGAAAGAAATAATTTTCCCTCTGCACAAAGCATTTAAAACAGGGAAGACATCACAGAAGTCAATGCTAGAATTTACATTATGTAACAAGTTACACATGGAATTTGAGTAACAGGTTATGGAGATACAGCTTCCTGCCATTCAGAAGAGATGTAACTTGAATGTCTCATCTTATCTTCCCCTCTCTTTCTAATTTTCTACTCATACTCTACTCTATATTTATATTTCTATCTTGCCTACCAGGGTCTTACTGAATAATGACTGTGGTATATTTGATTGCAACTCTGTTTTGCAGGGGCCCAATACAAAACCGTCTGAAGTCTGTGAGAGGGAGTCTGCCCTGCACTGGCTCTGTAAGGGTTAAAACAGCCCTGAGAGAAGGTTGAGAGACTGAAGCCGGCCGCTGAGGCAGATACAGACCTTTAGGGCCCAGTTGGCGCTGTATAAATAAGGGTTCCTTGCGGGAAGGGGAACACACACTCTTGCTCTAGCTGGGGAGCAGGAGGGACTTGGCTGCCTGAGACAGGGCAGTGCTGGAGAGCTCTGGCCTGACCTTACTCCCAGGCTGAGGCCAGGCCTGACTGAGTGCACTAGGGCTGCTGTGAAACAGCCAGAATAGGAAAGGGCACCAGGTTCACACCCCCTTGCTAATGCTGAATGGCCATTTCAGACTGCAGTTTGCCCCTGAGGTAAGGGTCTAGATGTAGGGTTGCCAGGTGTTCAGTATTTTTGCCTCCTGTCCAGTAAAAAAATTCAGAGAATACTGGACACCTGAGATGTCTGGTATTTTCTGAATTTTTCCCTAACCAGGAGGCGAAAATACCGGGTACCTGGCAACCCTACAAACACTCAGCACCCGGCCTCCCCTCCCCACCAACACCTCCAACCCTATGTTTACCTGGTTCCCCAAGGCTGCTGGCCCAAAGACCTAGGGCAAAGCTTCCCCTGGGTCTTAGTGCTCAACCGCTTCCCTGTTCCTATCCCTGCACTCACTGTTAAAGGGGACATGCTGGTTTTTTTTGCTCAACACCTTTGTTCTCCCCTCCCTCCCCCCCCGGTCCTTTCAACAGAATTTTTTCCTGGTGTTTTTTTTGGGCTGTGGGGGGTGTTCAGTATTTTCGTTTCAACCATCTGGCAACCCTATCTAGATGGACCGGCAGTGGGTCACTGAGGAAAGGTAGGTATAGCAGGACTGGGAGCTCCCTATCTGGGGAGGACCCTGGAGTGCAGGGGCACTGACCTAGGATAATACTAGGAGGACAAGGCACTGTGGGCAGGAAGGGGTTGCTCCAGAGCTAAAGTTCTGATTCCCAGGGTGACCAGCTGGAGGTGCCTTGGGGGGTGAGTGCTTGCCATGTGATAAAGTTAATGGGAGTTGAATCAGGCCTCCCTATTTTTCAAAGCTCACTAGTAGATTTAGATAACTAATTCTCATTTAACCTTATGTTGCTCTCAACAAAGATTTCCAAAAGAGCCAACCAGGTCCCAATTCCTTCTTAGGCACCAAAATGAAGTGGCTCAGTGGGAGCTGCTGGGTACTGAACTCTTTAAAAAAAAAAAATCTATCTCAAAATCTATACCAGAAATTTTCAAAACCAGGTACTATATGTTGGTTTGTTGAAAACAATGTCATACTTACATGCATATCTATGTCCCTGCATCTCTCTTGTTTTTTCAGGTGTTAACTTAGTCTTGAACAATTTTGTACTAACAAGCTTTAAATGCTATGGAACATTAGATACAATGTTCAATAGAAAAACAGAGCAATCTGTTATAATGATTTTAATACGTGGAAAAATGTAATATATGGTACTGATGGCACAGTTAGGCATATGATTCAAATAAAATCCTTTTCCCCTCTTGCAGTGATTCGAGCAAAAATATCCAGTGAAAAGGTGGTTCCTGCCAGTGATGACCCTGTTGACACTCACAAAATGATCCGGTATGAAATCAAACAAATAAAGGTACATGGAATCACTTGGTTATTTGACATTCAATACTGATGACTAACGTACCGTGATATGAACCAAGCTCATGCTGATTTCAGTGACAAAATTTCTTTGAATTGGAAGTAGGATCTGGTTGGCCTACAGTTCTATTCATGGATTATTTGCCAATAGACTGATTTTGATAAACAATGTATTTGTTATTCATACTTTTTGATGAATCCCGTGTGTAAATATATTTCAACGTGTGTATTACAGGTGCTTTCCACGGCACAAACATCCAACTTACAAACAGCTGCACATACAAACAAAAGCTCACCTGGAGCATCAGGGAGAAGGCAAGACAAAAGGTCTGTGTCTACACTGGCAAGTTATTCCGGAAAATCAGCCACTTTTCCGGAAAAACTTGCCAGCTGTCTACACTGGCCGGCTGCATTTCCGGAAAATCACTGACAATCTAATGTAAAATCATCCGTGCTTTTCCGGAAAAACTATGCTGCTCCCGTTCGGGCAAAAGTCTTTTTCCAGAAAACTGTTCCGGAAAAGGGCCAGTGTAGACAGCACAGTAGTGTTTTCCGCAAAAAAGCCCCGATCACGAAAATGACGATCGGGGCTTTTTTGCGGAAAAGCGCATCTAGATTGGCCACGGACGCTTTTCCGGAAAAAGTGCTTTTCCAGAAAAGCGTCCTGCCAATCTAGACATGCCTTTCTGGAAATACTTTTAACGGAAAACCTTTTCCGTTAAAAGCATTTCCGGAAAATCATGCCAGTGTAGATGTAGTCAAGGTGTTGGCGGGCATTGCATGTGCTGGCTGGAGGACTAGGAGGTAGGTGTGCAGCCAGTGGCTGGAGAAAAGTGGTGTTCTGAAAGGGAAACCACTGCTTCTCTCCAGCTGCATGGCTGTCCTATGTGCTTCTCCGGAGTCCTCAGCCCACTGGGGGACGGTCCTCAGAGGCTGGGGCTGGCACAGAGCCCACTGGGGGATGGTGGCTAGGAGATACCCGTAAAACCCCTTCAGAATTTCATCATCCTCTAATTAAATCTGCTTTACTCAAACACCAGTATTCAAGGTTAAATAAAAAGCTATTTCTACTATTTTTCATTGCAAATATACAATATTTCAGCTATATTATGGATTAAATAGGCTTTTGTGGGCTAGCCAAGGACCCTAACTACCATTTATAACATTGTTTTTATGGGAAAATGAGTGCCGAGTTCCAATGACTGTACTTCTACGCTGGCACGGGATAGAGACTATGTGGGATTGTATGGAGGTTGCTGGCCAAGCTATGTGCCTTATTGTTATCATTATGGTCATGGTGATAGGAAATCTAGTGGTACTGAATCTGTTTTTGGCCTTGCTGCTGAGCTCATTGGCTGCGTCTAGACTGGCATGATTTTGCGCAAATACTTTTAACGGAAAAGTTTTTCCGTTAAAAGTATTTGCGCAAAATCATGCCAGTCTAGACGCAGCCAATGAGCTCAGCAGCAAGGCCAAAAACAGATTCAGTACCACTAGATTTCCTATCACCATGACCATAATGATAACAATAAGGCACATAGCTTGGCCAGTAACCAAGGAATTAACGTTGCCTGCCTACACTGGCCTCTTGAGCAAGAACAGTTGCTCAAGAGGGCTTATCCCTGAGCAGGAGCATCAGAGTATTTGTGCAAGAAGCACTGATTTCGTACATTAGAACGTCAGTGTTCTTGAGCAAATACTCGTGGCCAGTGTAGAAAGGTGGCAAGATTTTGCGCAAAAGCACTTGCTTTTGCGCAAAATCTTGCCAGTCTAGACGCATCCATTTAGTTCAGACAATCTTGCTGCTACTGATGATGGTAACAAAACAATCTGCAGATTGTTGTGGGAAGGATTGAGAGGGGTATAGATTATGTGAAAAGAAAAGCACATGAATGTACCCAAAAAATCTTCATGAGAAGACTAAAAGATATAGATGAAATCAAATCAGTCTGTTAGCTAAACTATAGGGAAGACAACTGCACTTCCAGTTGTGCTGTACCTAAAATGAACAGAACTCTGGATATTTGCAAAGATGAGAACAGAAGCAATGGTGTTTAAGGGCAACTGATGACGACTTACAAATGAATGTTTGGAACACAACCTGTTTGTAAATTGGAGACTTCCTGTATTTGCAAACTACTCATTATGCATCTTTGATTATTTTCTGCTTGAGCATTTGGGTACCTGAACATTTGATTGCTTTGAGTGTCAGGGAATTGTTTTTACTTTCTGATTGCATGACATAAAATTTACAAAAAAGCAGGCATGTGAACAATGATATTTGCAGAAAAATCAGCCCTCCCTGGATATTTCTACAAAAATCCATCTGTATGCATGTCAGACTCCATGGGAAAATCCAAAATGAAGTATTTCAATCTGGATCTTTTTACCTGAAAGAATTTGAATTATTTTTTTAACTGACCCAAAACATTTTTCCTTTGAATCAATTTTACAGACCATTAAACTACATTTTCATATGAGGAAGACAAGATGAGTGACAGAATATCTTTTATTGCATCAACATCTGTTAGTGAGTGACCTGAGCTTTTGAGCTTTTTTTCAGATCTGGGAAACACATTCCACTATGTCTACACTGGAATAAAATGTCCATGTGGGGATGCCCAGGTCATATGACTCAAGCTCATGTGACTTGGGCTTCGAGGCTGAAAAACTGTTGTGCAGATGTTTGGGCTCAGGTTGGAGCTCAGGCTCTGGGCCCCTCCAAGGAGGCTGGGGGCAGAGCTGGGAAGTCCCATTGCTCCAGACCCAGCCTGAAATTCTCCACAGCAAATATTAGCCCCACAGCCTTGTTTTGTGCCTTGTATAGATGTACCCACAGTGTCATAGCTAAATACAAAGTGAAACAGATTATTTAGAGTAAGTCGTTAACATATTTTAAGGCATAATTCAAGGTGAAGTAACAACCCTCTACTCACATGCGGGACAGGAAGGGATGGAAGAACACCCCTCCCCCCAAGGGGAACATGTTAATAGGTGTTAGATTATTTTTATAAACCATAAATCCACTCTCTCTGTTCAGAGTTTTAGAGTGTAGCAAAATTTTGAATGCAAGTTTCCAGGCTCATCTTAACCAGCAGCAATTGATCCTCTCCCACCCTGTGTCTCTAATCTCCTAGGACCAGCACAGCTACAACAATACTGCACACATTTTCCTATGGCACGTTACCCTATAGGAGTTTAAGTTCCAACGCTCATCCGTTTCTAGGGATCAGGTTAATTGGAAGACTACATTTCTCCAATGGCAGTATCGTGATTTCTTCTATTTGAGCAGGATAATGCAGATTCTGCATGCAATATGGGACGTGCAGTCTGGCCCACAGAAGAACACAGGGGCAGTAACCACAACTCCCATAAGGCAATGCATCATACAGACATGCAATTTAATATTGAAATCACTCAAAATGAAGCACTTGGAGTGATTTCAACAAAGTGAAAAGAAACACTTCAGTATCAGGAATGCTGAAATGCTTTATTTTTAATAAAAATATTAAACAAAAGTTTATTTAAATTACCGTTCTGTGACATTTAAGGATGTTAAATTGTGGTTATCTGGCTAATACAATTTGTATCGACTACACAATTAGTGGATAAGGACCACTCTGCAGAGCTGCAGCAGAGTTAGCTCCAGGATCTGGCTTGAGCTGAGACCGAGCAGTCCTGGTTGGTGCCAGCTTCGGGATCCATCCGTGCTGTGCCTCTGCATTTTAAATGTAGTAAGAGCTGCCGGGCTTGTACTACATTTAAAGTGCAGAGGTACAGCATCTAGGATCAGCACAAGCCAGGACTGCTTGGTCCTGGCTTGTGCTAAGTCCAGCAGCTCCTGTTCACAAATTTGCTAGCAGAAACAAATTTGCTAGCAGAAATATTCAAAACTAAATGCAAATTATTATTCACATTTACAAATATTTGCACAGAAACTTGATTCTAAATCACTTGCCTCCATTGAGGAAACAGAAACGAGATTCAACATAGCTCCAATTAAAATTATTAATATAATATACTCTTAGTGGATTGTTTGTGAACGGACACATATTTGCAGATATAACCTCTGAATAACTTAAGATCAATCATATATTCACTAGCAGAAAGGGCTAGATAAGATAAATAAGTTGTTCACTACCTGCGATTTGTCCAGCTCTAGTCATTATAAATAGAGCAACGTGTTTTGAAAAAAAAAACTTAATTCTTTTGCAGTTTCTGACTGAAGGGCTGAAGTTACTTAATTTATGATGTGGTCAAAATAGGTTTTTCTCTATTTTGGGGTTCACTTAAGAAGTTCCGGGTTTGGAGTACAAGCATTTATAGTAGACAAGATAGATTGTGGCTAATTGAAGAAATCTTTTTGTTAAGATGTTATGTAATACCTTGTGTATTAGTTTCTACAGCCAAATTCTCCCTGGATATATTTTAAAACAACCACCATAAGCATGTTTGCCATGTTCTCAAAAGAATATTAGCTGTTTTTTAAAAATATTTTATTTACATAAGTTCATTATTGGGATTCCTGTTATATCTAGCAAGGACTTTGATGTTACAAAGCAGATTCATGCAAGTGAAGTCACACACACACACACAAGTAACCTCTTCAACTTGGGCCCAATTCTATTTTATAACTTTGTTCATTATTTCTCAATCTACAGTCCAGTTCTGCTTTGGTGACAGTTTGAATTTTCTGAAATCCATTCTTGCACAGTTGTGGCCTTTTCCAATTTCCCCAAAATGTTTAGTACTTAGAGGACCCAACTAAAAGCACTGAAGACACTAGGAGTTTTTCATTTAACTTCAGTGGGTTCTGAATTAGGCCCTGAGTAGAGAAACAGTAAATTAGGTATAAGCACATTACTGCTGTTTATTTTTTTAAATAAAAGATATTTTAATAGTTCTATAAGCTGATAAAACAGGAAGATAGTTCACATTTTCTACATTTTGGCTAGACTTGAACTAAAATTTGGATTTCAAGCCTTCACCCTGGAACATCTGTTATTCAGCTGTGTTAGAGCAAAGCTATTTATTACAATATTTATTACTGAGGGTAAGTAGACTTTTAGTTTGAAGTGATGATGTCCTATACTCCAAAGTGTAATAACCAACATGAGATTAAGCAGAACTGCACATTTAATGGGACAAATATAAATTCAATATGCTATTTCTAACAAATAGTTATAAAGTCATCTTTGCACTCACTTTCTCTCTCAGTCTGATAACAAGTTTCCTAATCTACTGTTTTCTAAAGCTTTGTCTAAACAGGCAACTGAACCACAAAACCTTTGTCTTTCAGAGATGTTAAAATGACACCAAAAGAGAAAAAGTTTTACTACTGATAAGTGCCAGTGTGAACAGCACTTTGTCAGCTGGAGTGCTCTGCTGATAACAAAGCTTAAGCCACTCATTGGGGTGGAAGTATTTTGTTGGCAAAAAAGCCAACCGACAAACAGCTCTGACACTGAAACTTTTAGTGGCAGAGTTGTACCACACAGCTGCTTTGTTAAAAGTTGTATTCTATAGCCAAAGATTATGTATTAGAGAGAAAAGGTGAGGTCGTATCTTTTATTGGACCAGCTTCTGCTAATGAGAAAAACAAGCTTTTGAGTTTACACAGAGCTGTTCTTAGAGCTGAGAAATGTACCCAGTGTCACAACTAACACAAGATGGAACAAATTGTTTAGAAAAGTCATTAACATATATTTCAAGGGGAGTTTTCAAGGCATAGTGGCCTTTTAACACCTCTCCAGTTATAGGGCAGAAGGAAAAGAAAGGGGAAAAATAGGGTAGCTGGGAGTCAGGATATATGGTGTTATAGATTGTCCTTATAAGTCATTACAATGTAGGGGCTGGTGGTGAAAATCAACAAGACTAGCTGTGGGTTAATCTAGTACTTCACTTGCATAAATGTCTAGTAAAGGTATGACTCAGGTCCAGTACTGGCACGATCAATATGAAACACTTAACTGAACCAGAATTATGCAGAAATCAATTTAAACTGTATTTCATGTGGAATAGTGGCCTTGAGTTAATGAGACCTAATTAGAAGAACTTGGTTAGCAAAGCATTAGTTTCTGAAGACCTCACTTCCTGTCTTTTCCCAATGTCAGACTACATGATTTAATGATTCCCTTTTCTTGCCTTAAAAAACCTATAACTCTACAAAATACTCCTCAAACACAACCTTTAAATTTTCTGCTGAACACTTTTGTGCCATTAGGCCAGAATGTATCCCTTTGGACATCCTCAAATAATCTCTCCCCTCATATGGGATACTTCTACGCAGCTTTTTGGAGAGTCTGAGTAGAAGCTCTCGAAAAATAGCTGTAGAGTTAGCACTTCCAAGCTGAGGCTAAGACTGGTGCTCCAAAGCCTAGTGAGGTTGGGGTGAACTTCAGAACCCAAGCGCCAGTCTGAGCCAGAATTTCAAAGCACTGTATCAGTTGCTTGAACAAACTATGAAGTCACAAAATCTATTATGGGAAAGTTAGTAAAGCTGAACGCAAAGTGCTAGCTTTACTGATACCCTTTTATTTATGCATGAGTTGCAAAACTTTTTGTCACTCTCATAGATCTCACTAGTGATTAAATTTTACATATAGCTACAACTGTACTAAGAAAAATGCTGCTCCCCCTTTTCCACCTACACCCAGAGGGAGGAGGAGAAATGGGGCTATTAAGTACATTTCAAACAGAGTTTCTTTAAGCTATTTCTCACAGAAAAATTACTGTTACATTAATTTTTATGTTTAAAGTATTTCAGAGAAGCTGAAGTTTAGAAGATTTAAAGTATCAAAATGTTCACTATTTTGACACTACATATTAGCAGAATTAAATATTTTTGTAACTATTGGGAATACAATTTTATTACTAATCTCACAAGCAGTTCACATTACATGGTACAAAGATGTAGTGACACTTTGTACTCTTGTTTTATATTTACTGACAGGCATTTAAATTTAAGTAAGATAGTATTTTTTCTAGTTGCTGTTCCTTTATTTCACTGGAAAAATATTTAGAGGATTGCACTAAAAGGGTAGAGAGTGATCTATTAGTGGATATTTACTTTTATAATGTAAATAACAACAGTCCAGATTTTGTCACCCATTCTTGCATAGTAAGGTACATAATGTAAGTAGTTCTGCTGTCTTTAAGGGGACTGCTTATGTGTCCGGACACTGCTAAAAATAAGTATGGTAGAATGAGGCCCATATAAACAACACCATTCAACAAGAAACCACTGAACTTTACACACCTTAACTGATATACGGAGGAAATTCAATTCTAGTACACATGAATGTAGTTCCAATTCCAGGGCTGAACTTAGGGCACAAATGAAAAACTGGGAGACACATTGCAAGAGAACTGCAAGCTCATTTAGTGAGAAATACAGCAAGTGTTCGCACAGAGCAAGAATCCTGCGCAACTGCTCAGGAAAGGAAGAACATGCCTCATACAACTGAAAATGCCTGGCAAATATAGCAGGTAGAATGTAATTAACAAAACTGAACTTAATCAGGACATGGAGAAAAATACCATGAGGTTTTTAAAAGACTACAAGTGGCCATGGGCTCAGTTATATATCTCAGTGCCACAACAAGTGCCTGAACATAGCGTTCTCTAATATTATGCTGGCCTGTGACTAGAGAGAGAATTCCAGCTACTGAATTGTCAGTATCACTGTCTGTAGTCATTAGGACTTCCTGCGATGTCACCCATCTAGAGAAGGGATCCAACTGAGATAGATCACAGTGGTTCACAGCGTTTTCAGGTATCTAAAAGGGTGTCAGGAGGAGGAGGGAGAAAACTTGTTCATCTTGGCCTCTGAGGATAGAACAAGAAGCAATGGGCTTAAACTGCAGCAAGGGAGTTTTAGGTTGGACATTAGGAAAAAGTTCCTAACTGTCAGGGTAGTCAAACACTGGAATAAACTGCCCAGGGAGGTTGTGGAATCCCCATCTCTGGAGATATTTAAGAGTAGGTTAGATAAATGTCTATCAGAAATGGTCTAGACAGTATTTGGTCCTACCGTGAGGGCAGGGGACTGGACTTGATGACCTCTCGAGGTCCCTTCGAGTTCTAGTATTCTATGATTCTGTGTGCTAGCTCCTTTCCCCCTCCTCAGCCCAGCTGAGCAGCATGCTGGCTCCTGCCTCTCTCCCCCCTCGCATCCCAGATGAGCCGCACACTGGCTCCTATACGTCCCTACCTCCCAGCAGCGCAGCTAAGCCTTGTGCTGGCTCCCATCCCATCACCCACCCTAGCATCCCAACTGAGCTGTGCGCCAACTCCTAGGCCTCTGTCCCCTGCAGCACACCAAGACTCTCTGATCCTGATCCTGGAACATCCATGGTCTGCCAACTTCTAGGCCTCTGCCCCCTGCAGCGCACCAAGACTCTCTGATCCTGATCCTGGAACATCCATGGTCATGCCGGACCATGGATGTTGCTGGACCAGAGAATCCTGGATTTTAGAGGTAAAACCTGTAGTGTCTTTGCAACACTCACGTGGTTCTGCTGCTCTCTCTGGCCATATTATAGAGAGGATTGTGTGTATCTGAACAAGATTTGGAGGCTAGCTACTTTGACTTAATTTTCTTTAATGTAAATATATATAAATGACTCAAGTTGTGATTTAATCATTTAGTGCTGCCTTATTTTGTTTGCTTGGGCAACTCTCTGCATTAGGCATAGAACACTTTTCAGTCTAGGTGTTTATTGCTTGTACAAAGTATTTCAGATTGATGGAAGACATTAGATGACAAAGAGTCAATGGCAACACTCAACTCTTGTCATCTAATGTCTTCCATCAAAGAGTCAATGGCAACACTCAACTCTTGTCTCTCTTCTCATTTCTTAATCAAGAGGCTTAAGAAAACCAACACGTTTATAATATATGTGCAAGCCCCACACAGTATGTAAATCTCCTGAGTAGAATTCGAATATGGCAATTTTTTCCCAGTAATTCCAACTGCACTTGGAAGCTGTGAACCTTGCAACTGTCAACACACAGCACGATGCAACCAAAAGGGGCCTCCTCTATGACGGAGTTTCAGTTATGTCACCGTAGGTGATGATAGGCATTCTGAAATTGATTAGCACCTCTCACGGTTGGGTGCAATTAAAGTTGTTTGCAAACATCAATTGAAAAAAGCATTTCAGAACTGAGTAAAGTGCTATTTGTAAAGCACACTGCATATCGTGCATGGGCTTTGTTACTAAATCTTCCCATTTCTGTTGAGTGCTGCAGGCTCTAATCTCTAAGGGCCTGTTCCTGTAGTCCTTATGAAGGCAAAACTCCCATTATTCATATGCCAAAATCAAAGCAGGCCAAGTTCTGGCCCTGGCTGTGTCTAGGAAGCGAAGGTAATGAAGTTATTCAGAAGTATACTTTGTTCCACTCAGGATCTTCCACTGTATTACTAGTGGATCTATCTTGTGTGAAACACATACGTGGAGGAGCATGTTCTTATGCAGATTCAAACTTCACAGCTTGAGCTCATCCCTATTTCAAAGAGATGCATCAAGGCACTGTTTGTCACTGCCCATAGGAGCTGCTGAGCTTGAACATTCTGTTCAATTATTGTTTAGCTACTCTCTAGGCACAATAACACTTTTTTTTTAAATTTCAGATGTTTAAAGGATTTGAAAAACTGAAAGATGTTCAGTATGTGTATACTCCTTTTGATTCATCTCTCTGTGGAGTGAAACTAGAAGCTAACAACAAGAAACAATATCTCCTCACAGGTAAAATACAAACAAATCTTAACATATATGTTATATTTGGTACATAGTCAACTCAATCAATACCATACCTATACCAATAACACTGTTTAGGGATTGATTGAGTTGACTTTGTACCAAATACATCATTAAGAATGCAATGAATAATTTATGGACAGCCAAGTGATGCCATTATGAAAATCTAGAGTAACATTCTGATAACACCACCTTGGTTTTATATATGTAGAGCCCTGCAAATCTGATATCCACTTTATAGCTACAGATACACATATCAAGAGATGTGGATGGACCATTTGTCTATGGATCATTTTTGTGGATTGGACGTGGATACAAATTTTATATTCATCGAGTGGATGACAGACTTGCTGGGTGGTGCAGCCAGCCCTGTGCTCCCGGAAGGGACGGAGCTGGAGCAGCCAGGACTCACCTGCAGCAGCCAGTCCTCAGCGCTGCTCAGAGTGGGCCACACTGGCACCCGGACCTTCTCACCTCCCAACCAGCCCTGAGAACAGCCTGGAGTGTGCCGTGCAGAACTCTGGTGGTGATTTAAAGGGCCTGGGCTCTGTATGCTGCTGCTCCTATGGTAGTGGTGGCTGGGAGCCCTGAGCCCTTTTGAATCGCCAGGCCCTGGGGCAACTGCCCTTTTTGCACCCCTCAGTCAGCGGGCCTGGTAGTGATGCAGGGCTCTTTATATAGTGCCTTTCATCTTTCAGCAGTACATGTCAACAACAAACCATCAACAAAGGAGGTCACTATTAGGGTTGCCAGGTGTCTGGTTTTGAACCAGACAGTCCAGTACTTGAGCTTTCTGTTCGTGAATATAAATGAGAAAATATCAATGTCCGGTATTTTCTAAATAAGACGTAATGTAGATTGTGATGTAATGTCAAGTGTGTCCGGTATTTTTGTTGAAACCATCTGGCAACCCTAGTCACTATCGCTGTGTAAATTACTATTTCTTTTTCAAAGGGTGGACTTTCACTAACAAGGCTCAGTCCATTATTTTGTCATATTATTAAATTAAGCCCTAATCCTGCAAATAATTTCACACTGGTGATCCCAGTCAGTTCAACTGGATTACTCACTTGCCAAGTATTTCTTTCCTTAATTACTGACAGATATTTGTGAAATGGTTTTGAGATCTAGTCTTATATAGCACTGTTTTCATGTCCCTTACTGGCAGACAATCAGCATCCTTAGAGAGATTAGGAGGCTGTGGCCCCAGCTTGCTATGCTCACCAACCCCCGATCAGCATCTTTAGAGAGATTAGGAGGCTGTGGGCCCAGCTTGCTATGCTCACCAACCCCCGCTCTCTTTGGGGGTAGGTGTCTGGCCCGGGGAGGGGGAGCAGCGGGCTGAGGGCAGAGTGTCTGGCCAGAGGGCAAGATCAGGGTAGGCATCTGGCTAGGGAGAGGGTGCAAGATCAGGGGAAGGTGCAGGAGCAGGCTGGTGGTGCAGGGTCTCAGTGGATACAGTGAATGAGGGGGCTAGGGCAGTGAGGTCTCGGCAGGGTAGTGAGTGAGGGAGCTGGGGGTGCAGGGTCTCAGGTTGAGGAATATGAGCGAGAAGGTTGGGAATGCAGGGTCTCAGCTCAGGGGATGTGTGAGAAGTTTGGGATCTGGGGAAAGGGTGCAGTTCCTGCACCCCCGGGAGGGAAAGGCAGGAAGGCCACACTGCTCCCACACCCCTGGGGGAGAAGGGAGGGAATGGGGTGGCCATGCAGCTCCAGGCCCCTCCAAATCACATAGCTCCTGGCACCCCCAGGAGGAGGTGGTGGAAGGGGAGGCCGCCCCAGGAGCAGGAGGGGGAGGCCATGTGGCTCCTGGCACCCCCAGGAGGAGGTGGTGGAAGGGGAGGCCGCATGGCTCCTGGCCCCCCCAGTAGGAGGAGGGGGAGGCCATGTGGCTCCCAGCCTCTGGAGTGGGGAGGGTACGCAGCTCCCAGCCCCCTCAGGAGGGTGAAGGGAGGAGGCTGTGTGGCTCCTGCCCCCTCAGGAGAGGTTGAGGGGGAGGCCACGCAGCTCCTAGCCCCCCCAGCAGGAAGGAGGAGGGGAGATTACATGACTTCTGGCCCTCCCAGGGGGAGGAAGGCCCTGCAGCCCCCCCAGGAGGGGGGTGGAGGGATGCTGCATGGCTCCTGCCCAGTCAGAGCAAAGGGGAGGGGGGAGGCTGCACAGCTTTTGGCATCCCGACCAAGGATGGGAGGGGGGCACACGGCTTCCACCCCGTGGCACCTGGGAAGGAGGGAGGAAGGAGGCAGGGCATCTGAGTGCAGAGGAGGCAGCGGAACACAGATGACATCATACAAGTCTTTCTTAACATTTTTCAATCTGCATTAAACAGCACGATAGTTATGATGAGCAGTTGTATTCACTGTTTAAACAACAGTTCCTGAAAAAAATGTGTGAAATTGATTTATTTTGAGCTATAAGTTTCAAACTTCAGAGGCTCCTCACAATGCAGACTAGGGTTTACAGTACAATCCTATTCATAAACTTTATATATTGTTTCTCTCCCCTGTAGGCCAAATATTACATGATGGTAAAGTTCTCATCCATTTATGCAATTACATTGAATCGTGGGATGATCTATCCTTGTCTCAAAAGAAGAGTCTTAACCAGAGATACCAAATGGGCTGTGGCTGCAAAGTAAGTTTAAAAATTGACAATAACAGTGAGTGTCTAATATGTTCAAAGCTCAGCAAATAGGAATTTTTTGGAAATTGCAAAAACATGGTCTGACGTATATTACATTTTATAAATTATTTACTTTTCATATTGTCGAGGCTATTCCCCACTCTGGCACTCTGAGTGCAGAAGGTGGGGGCCTGCAAGAGACCTTAAAAATACTTTGCCTCTATACGCTTCTGCTTAGAAACTCCCCGAGGTCACAGATTCCCTGACTTTGGGAGGTATGCTGCCCACTGCCCATGTGAAAAAAAACCCTTCTCTTGAATCCAGGAAGAAATCACTTGGGAACTTTTTCTAGAAGTACCTGAAGCTCTTTTACCACAAGAGAGCTTGAGGAAAACAAACAAACAAACTGTAATCTCTGAGAGCCGACTTCTCAGTCTTAGACAGACACACAAAGACCTCCTATTACCTTCCAGGACTCAAGAATCAGAATATAGTATTTAAAAAGGTGATTTTATTGACAAAACAAAAAGATATAATTGGTAAAGCACACTTGGCTGCAAAGTGCTATAAAGGAACAGAGGAGTAAGGGGGGAACAGATTAAAACGCAGAAAATTGCTTTAGTGCAGCGTGTAGGAGGGGAGGGGGCACATGGACTCAGCGCAGAGGAGTTTAATCAAGCAACAAAACAAAGAAAATAACCTGCTTATGTCTAACTAAAAGCATTCTCTATCTACTCACATATTTGAATTTGCAAGGACCAGTCCAATTCTAGACACAAGTATTCATTTTTTAGACATGGTCATCCCTGCCAGGTTCAATTAATCTTTTCCTCTAGCTCCTGGTTTTAACTCCCCAAAAGAAAAGAAAACAGGCAGACTGCCTTTCAATTCAAATGTCAACACTGCCCTCTAATTGGTTTTCCTGGCTCCCTGCTAACACCTCCTAGCTACCTGGTTCTTTTCAGGTGCTCTGAGTTTAGCCCTTTATAGCAGGGGTGGGCAATAATTTTTGATAGGGTGGGCCACTCCAAGAATCTGGAAAGTGGTAGAGGGCTGCACTCTTCCAGTATATTAATGGAGGAGATGCAGGTATGTGGGATGGAGATTGGGTGCAGAAGGGAGCTTGGGGTAAGGGATTGGGGTGCAGGAGGGAGAATGTGGTCTGGGAAGGAGTTTGGGTGAAGGAGGCAATTGTGACCTAGGGCAGGAGACTGGGGTGCAGGGGTTTGGTTTGTAACTTAGGGTAAAAGGGGATTGTGATCGGGGCAGGGATTTGGGTGCCAGATCTTGGAGAGGCCATGGGTGAAGGAGGGAACCCGAGGGTTTGGTTATGTTGAGTGGGGGGCAGAGGGCGGGGTGCCAAAGGCAGGCTCCGGCCAGGAGACCTAACAGCCAGCAACCCAACCAGTCTGCCTGCTAAGGCTTGAAGAGCTTAAAAAGTTTTTCAGCCAGCCAGCCTGCCTGCCTGATGCCTGCCACAGGCTGCCCAGCCATGTGCTTGTGTGAATAACTAAGCCAGAGGGGAGGGAACTAGTGCTTTGTGGCTGCCTGTTATTCAAACAGGCAGCTCCCATTGGCCAGTTTCTGGCCAGAAGCTGGCCAATGGCATTGTGCTTTGGGCTGGAGTTACACCTGATGCCTTCCCCCCTCCCAGTTTTTGAAGAGAAATAGCCCTGCAGCCACTTTTCTGAGTGTCATGCGGGGCTGTGGAACAAGCAGGGGCTTCCCACAGTGACTGCGGGCTGTGTTCAGTGGCTTGGTGGGTCAGATCCGGCCCGTGGGGCCGTATTTTGTCCAGGCCTGCTTTACAGGCAGTACTCCTCTCATCCATCACACACATAATAACTACTTATTTCAAGATCAGTACAGACATTGTGGGTAAATATTCATATGCTGAAAATGTGAAAACTGTCATTCCAATGGAAATTTTGATAAGTACACTGAATTAATTTCATATTTTTTACATTTAGATTACTACCTGCTACATGGTGCCCTGCTCAATCACTACACCAAATGAGTGTCTCTGGACGGACTGGCTCATAGAAAGAAAACTATATGGGCATCAAGCCAAGCATTATGCCTGTATCAAGCGAAGTGATGGCACTTGCAGCTGGTACAGAGGTGGGCCCCCTCCAGAGAAAGAGTTTACTGACATCAGTGAGCCTTAAAATGATCACTTCTTAAAAAGCCTGGGAGGCTAATTCCATCAAACGTTGCACACTCACAGCTTTGAACTGCCGACATCTTATGTATCTGTTGGTTAGAAATAGAAGCAAAGTGTGCTGTGCAATTGTGCAATTTGTGGAATTGGCACCCAGCCAAGAAGAGAAACAAATCTCTCGGGGGTAGCTTATAAAGTTCTGCTTCGTATACAGGGATTTAGTTGAGAATGTTCCTTGAGGCATAACAACTTTCCTTTTTACCAATATGAATGCAGAAGAACAAAAGAATGATCAGATTTTTGCCCCTTATTCCAGTTACCTAGCAGATTAAGAAAACCCCGTGACTCAGTCCAAAACAGTCTGATACACAAAGAATGTTTTATACAATTATTTTTTCAGCATAGCTGCCGTCTGATAAAATAATTATTGTACAGTATATATGTAAAGTATAACAATGTAAAAATATCAAAGGTCCAAGTTTTCTTCATATTTGTGAAAACTAAACTTTTTTTGTGATTGAAAACTTTTGTTCTTTTTTGTATACTACTTACATGTCATATTTCTTACCCATGTATTATAACATTTCTTAGTAATTAGGTTAAATATATATATATTTGATAATCACAAATGCCTTTGTCCAATTCATTGATTTAGTGGATTGGCATATACTGTAAAGAGAAAAGTTCTAATGCTTAGGTATTGCACCAATAGAAATATTGTGTGAATATGCACCCTTAGACAGTAAGATTTATAGGAAAGTTCAAGCATAAACATTGTCAGTGTAGCCACCGCAGCTCGTAATGCCTCCGTACATGTGTGACTATATAATTATCATATTTCACTTCTGTTATAAGTGCTGCTTTTAGTCTGAGTGACTTTAAAGAACCCCAAGTATTTATTTGATTGTTTGGATTTTGATACAAAATTTACCATTTCTGGATAGTCAAATGTTCTGTCATAATGAGTATCACAGCTTACAAAAATGTACCGCAAAAGTATTATCTTTTTGAAGGCTAGAGAAAAAGGGCAAGATGTAAAGATTTAAACAAATAATACTGATCAAGCGTATGAATATTTCCACAGGTTTTTAAGTTTGCAGAGGCAAATTAATAAGGGATGCACCAAGGCTGAGAATAATTATCCAGATCTAGCTGATTATCTGTGTTTGAAAAACTGAGCAGGAATCCTCATGAGATAAGGCTCTTTTGTGACATTTCTAATACCTTCTGAATCTGGTCAAAGTAAATAACACCTAAAAACCACTCTGTTCCTCACTGTCCTTTGGAATTTCACCATGTAGATTCCAGATATGTCTAGAATTAATGCAAAGAAAGCAGACATAAGAGACCTAAGTAAAATAGCTAGCTTAACTTATGTTGAACTTCAGCAAGACGTAGTTCAGGTTTATTAGAGACATTTATTATTTTATAGAAACCTATTCATCTACCTCTAGTATTGTAACAGTTCCCAAACTAGTGAATGATACACTAATAGAGTAAATGATCTTTAAAATTGTTATAGTCTATGGGGCTAAGAAACCTATTTTCTGAGTACCAGTACCAATGATGATGCACTTTTTTTAGGACGAAAAGTTGAGATAAGATCAGAGTTTGCATCTACATTTGCTTATGCTTTTTGCTTTACATTAAAACAAAGTAGTGTTATGTAGTTACCAAAGTATGGAAAACATGTTGTCCTTAATCTATATAAAATGTATTAAATATCAATGATAATCATTCAAGAAAGGTGTATCATTTTAGTTTCAAAAGCACACAATCTGGGTGATAAAGCCCATTATTTCTTGAAAAAATGTGGATTGCCAATATTATTTAATAATCAACATTTCACTTTTTTTGGGCCAACTTTTTAATGCTTTATCTTATGGCAATGCAATAAAATACCTTTAATTTCTTCTTATAACCATACCCATCCATAAACTTCTAAAAATGTAGTTTGCAAAGTCTATTTTATCCACAGATTTGTTGTTATGATTATTTATAAAGCTGCATGCTGAGAAAGCTATGCTTTTTTCAAAAAAAAAATGATGTGCAGATAAAAGTTGCAGAAGTGTGATTTACTGCTAGTGCAGTGCAGATAATTGACTATACTCTGTAGGTATGTAATTAACTAGAACTCATTGCTTTCTGTCATACCAAAACAATTGCTAGGATAAAGCTGCAATAGCTTTATGATCATACATATTTTCTATCAAACACCTGGCTAATAGTCTATAGTACATGTATAGTGGAGTATTTTGTTTTCAAATAATTTTATTGTAATGGTGCACTTTGAACAGCACTATGTAGTAAATGGATATCTTCTGCTCTATAATTTGCTTATTGTAGTTCTGTGTGTATTTTAAAATTATACAATAAGCAGGCATTAAATTCAATGAGCATAACACACATTGCCTTCTTTCATCCTATAAGATTTTCTTCAGTACTTTTATATGATTTATATTTCAAGTGAAACTCTAAATAAGAATTTTACTATATGAAATACTAGTTTGCTATATTCAGTCTATCAAATATTTTACAACTGATTTGCCATAATCTGTCCAATACAAGATGTTTCAAACTAATGTCTGTCAAGTCTGATTTCTTTTTTAACTTAAATCTATTTAGATTTTCCATTGTGGAGAACAGAGAATCCATCTATTATCAATAAAGAGGGGATGTAGAGCTTTAAAAGGACACTTCAAAATTAGTGCTTATTCTACTGAGACTCAGAGAAGTAACTGTGTTAGTCTGTAACTGAAAAAAATTAAAGAAACAATGAATGGTCTTTCAGCACCTTAAAGACTAACAAAAAATATAGATAGATGGTATGCTCGTGATGCTCAAAATGTAGATGGAAAGCTAATGACACCATCTGTATTTTTTGTTAGTCTCTAAGGTGCTGCAGGGACATTCGTTGTCTTTTAAGTTATTTTACTGAGAGTTTGTCTATACTTACCAGGGTTTTGCTGTGTGGCAATCAATCCCCTTGGGGTCAATTTGCTAAATTGACCACTGATCACTCTCTTGTCTACTCGGATACGTCACCTAAACAAGATGCATAAGGGAAGTTGACAGGAGAGCTTCTCCCATCAATGAAGCATGGTGTAGATACTGCAATAAGTCCACCTAAGCTATGTCAGCTCCAGCTGGACTTGTGTAAATTAGGCTGAACTTTCCCCATAGGGTAGACCAGGCCCTTGATTCAGCATTGACAAAGACTTTAAAGGAAAAAATCAACTACAGTAAAGCTTTCTAAGTGAATTTTCATAATAAGATTTTCATACTATTAGCATTCATTTATTGCAACCTACAATTTTAAAAAGAGAATGTCCACTTTCAAGTTCCTAAACCTTTAGTGTGGGTGTGGGGGTTATATGGAAGGTTGAGGATTAAATACAGCTTATTATGGCATTTGGTCTTGATTTGAATATAATTCATCTCACTTATTCACATTTATAAAACATAACAGAAGGGAAGCTGGGTGACAGATACAAAGGAATAAAAAAAAATAAAGGTAATTACTTGAAATCATTTAGCTATGACTACGTCTATACTGTACCTTTTTCCTGCAAAAGCTAATGCAAAAGAAGCGTGGAGTAGAATACACCGTGCTTCATTTCCATAGTTGATTAGGGTCTGTTTTTGCGCAAGAGACTTTTGTGCAAAAAGGAGCTGTGTAGATGGCTCCTTTTTGCACAAAATCCCCCTGTTGCAAAAGAGCCGTTCTTCCTGAAAAAATGAGGAAGAATGGCTCTTGTGCAAGACGGGGTTTTTGCGCAAAAAGGAGCTGTCTACACAGTTCCTTTTTGCACACAAGCCTCTTGCACAAAAACAGCCCCTAATTAATTATGCAAATGAAGCACAGCAATATTCTGTTCTGGGCTTCATTTGCATAAGCTTTTGCGGAAAAAGGGTGCAGTATAGACGCAGCCTAAGAGTGCTAAATACTGTCTTGATTTTCTTAAATCCTTCTAATTAAATATTATCAATGTCCTTCAAATAAGCCTGAAAAGGCCACTATTTCACATCAGAGAATGTAAGAAGGCATAAATGTCACGAAAAAAAAAAAAAAAAGAAAACTAATTCCTGAAAGGAAAGCTGCGGACATATGACTCAAGCAGTGATGAGTTCAGAAAACACTATTTTCTACTATTTTAATCAGTTATTTTAGTGAAATGTCATAGCTCCAAAATTTTCCATTAGAGCAGCTCCTAAGCTTGCATCGCAAAATGGTATCTTTGTTTACATACCTTTTATTGCCTTTGGAAAAACAGTACAAGAGAGCAAGGCACAAATGATCACTAGAGCATGAAAGTAAAAGAAACAGAAGCATAACAGTACATCAGATCCGCTGAGTTCAAAACTTCCGATCCTGAGAGCTTTGGAATACCCTCCCAAGATACATAGGTTTAAATAGGAGAAAACAAGTTCTAGTTTATGCCTGGAGAAGCAGCAGGACCAGGCTGTGTTTAGACTACACCTCTCTGTCGACAGAGAGATGTAGATTAGGCATGTTGAAATTGCTAATGAAGCAGGGATTTAAATATCCCATGCTTCATTAGCATAAACATGGCCGCTGCTTTTTTCAAAACGGAGATTTTTTGAAAAAAATGGCAGTCTAGACGTGGATCTGTCAAAAATAAACCCTTTTTCGACAGATCCTGTAAACCTCATTTTTTGAGGAAGACAGGATCTGTTGAAAAAGGGTTTATTTTCAATGGAGCACGTCTAGACTGCCAGTTTTTTCGAAAAAGCTCCATTTTGAAAAAAGTGGCAGCCATGTTTATGCTAATGAAGCATGGGATATTTAAATATAAATAGATGGTATGCTCGTGATGCTCAAAATGTAGATGGAAAGCTAATGTGCCTAATCTACATCTCTCTGTCAACAGAGAGGTATAGTCTAAACGTAGCCCCAGGATTACCAGGAAGAGAAGAAAAAGACCTTAAAAATCAGAAATTATCTGTATAGGCAAAAGCAATCTCAAACCAAGCTGGAAATGGATAACTTGCAATAAATTGAAAATAAATATTCATTACCCCAATACAGCTTCAGCTCATCTACTGAAAAAACTCTCCCCATGAGATCATATTATATCTCTCCACAGAAATTCCAATAAAAATCAACTAGCACTTTTTTCTGACACACAGAATTTCCAAAACTTCCTCCAGAGGTAAAAACAAACAAACAAATTTGCATCTAACTTTCCTCAGTCATTGTACCACATATGAAATATACATGACAATCGAATATAGAGACAAAAAAGTTGTTTTCAAAATAATCATTATATAGGACATAGTTAACCCTCCATGAACAGAGTCAACCTTTTTGCTATCAGAAGTTCAACAATATGCAAAATAAATAATCTCCTTGTTCCAATTGCTGTACAGGACACAAAGAGGTGAGGGAAGAGGACAGGAAACAACTCTCAAATACAGTATTTTCACAATCCCATCATCCATAAAACAATATTTTATGCACTCATAAGCAAGAACACATTAAGAGCTTTTCAATTTTTCATTTCAAATACAGGATTTTAATTCAATCTATGCTTTAAAATAGCAACCAGCAATGGAACTTGGTTTAGTCTGTGGTCTTTCTGCAAGGCTTTACATGCAATGAATGAGCAGATTAACTGAAACCTCAACCAGTTCCTGTGACTGAGCAAAGGATATTTTATTCCCATTTTTGTAAGCTCTAAGAATCAGATGTGCAAGCAAAAACAGTTTTTTATAGGTTAGTAAAATAATTAAAAGAGCACAAAAGAGTCAAATGAAGGTCAATAAGAAACAGCTTGGTTGTTGTCATATCCAGTACACTAAAAAAATGTACAGAATCTAGCATGTAAAAAGGTATTAATTGATCTGGAGCATATGCGAGGCTTCCGGGCAAGGACCGAGCGTTGGGCAGTCAGGCGAAATGCCCCGCGTATGTCAGGGTACTGACTTGGGAACCGTTATGACGCCAATACAGCCTACTGACCCGACCCGTACCTTTCCGCAGATCGCGCTCCGAGAGCATGTTTACACATCTTAGCCAAAAGGCCGAGAAGCGATTACTATAATTTGTGAAGGTGCGATTCTACTTCTCTGTCTAGAATGAATTAATCCCAAAACAAAGGACACTTACTTATTTCTCATGCTTCACTTTTCAAAAATTGGAGAAATGACGAAGTTTTGGACCTTGCTACCAAATGCATCAATACTCATGTCAGGGAATGTCCTCCCTATTCTTAAAAGATCCTTGAGGCGCCTGACTGCTATTTGAGATTCATTGCTCTCGTTCAGTAACTTTTTTCCTGGAGAGCTATTGAACTTTCACATCAAATATGTGGCTATAATTGAAGCTCCTTTCACTTGAAGTTGCACGTGGGACAGGAAAAAGGATGGGAGCGCAAAGCTACTGAGGCCTTTTATGGCTTCATGGCACCAAATCCATGCTGATATGAAACAGAAATTTTGCCTCCCTCACCAAATGCTGAGAAGACAGACTAGAATACTAGCCTTATGCTGCCCAGTTATCAAGAAGTAATCAGAAAGGGAGATGAGACTGTGGATAAAATTTTAACCAACTGAAGTCAGTGGGAGTTTTGCTATTGATTTCTATAGTCAGGCAGGAGCTACATAGCAATCACATAGCTACATAGCAATCATTGACTGCTGATGCTCAGGTTGTAGCGCTGCATGTTTGAGTCACTATGTTGCAACATTACACAAAAGATATTGAAAGGTAAGGTTGGGACTTGGTGCTGAGACTGCTTTGTGTCACATTGGTACTTCGTTCCAGGGTAAATCTCTTTCTAGCTCTGCAGGGTTCAATGCCCTTCCTCTGTACAATATAGTTATGGAAAATCTGCATTTAAAAATGATAACAAAGGAAAAATTAAAAGAAGTATGCAAGATAAGGCACTAAGGGTACATCTATACTGCAATACTATTTCGAAATAACTAGAGCTATTTCGAAATAACCTAGTCTGCATCTACACAGCAGGCAGTTACTTTGAAATACAGGCAGTCCCCGGGTTACGTACAAGATAGGGACTGTAGGTTTGTTCTTAAGTTGAATTTGTATGTAAGTCGGAACTGGTACATATTGTAGGGGAAACTCTAGCCAAACATTTTTTTTAGTTTTGGATAGCATAGGGAAAGGTTAACTCCCCTCTAATGTTTGTTTTGCTGTCTGTTCCCCTGTTCAGAAGATTTCACATCTATTTCTGTCCCTGTGACAAACTCAGGACTAAAAGAGTAACTCATCAAATACCAAACCCGCACCCTAAGCTTGTGAGAATCATTCAGATTCTACAAGGTCTAAATATAGGCAGAGGACCATCTCTTGCAGATCTGGTATCAGGTTGGATACTCCAGAAAAAACAATAACTTTTATTTATTCTCAGCCCTTCAGTTCTGCCTCTTTCTACACCTTTCAATACTTTCAGAAAGGACCAAGGTTTTTTCCAGAGTCCCGCTGCAGAACTCCAGGGAGTAGATGCATCCTTTGTGATTCACCTGATCTTCAAAGGACATGAAATGGATAACTCTGCCCCATCCAGCTGCTGCATAAGGACTCCACCTTACATACTCCATATTATAGTTGAGGCCTGGCCTGACATGAGTAATTAACATATGGAAGGAGGCCTCATTTTGCGGAATATAGAAGAGAAGGAAATAAGTCACCAGGTTTAAAACAAGGTTTGAGCTAAACAAGACAAGTAACCAGGTCAGTAGGCTAAGACAGAGAACCGTTTATTAGGAACTAGATAACAGGGACAAATGAAATTAGGAACATAGAGATGAGTCAAAGAGGAAGCTGAAGTAAGGAAAGTGGACACTGCATGCTGCATCAGGATTTGTTCCTGCAAAATAATCAAGCTAATCCAAAAAATGCAAGATGCGTAACGAATATAAAGAGAGAAGGTTTCTATATAACTTTACAGCTAGGATGTACCCTGCATTTCCCCCGCCCCGGAGTTTGAATCTGATCAGCTCAGTGTAGCACTACTGTATGCCAAACCAGCCATTTGAGTGACAAAGGCGGGAGTTGAACTGAGTTCTTGGGACGTGAGTAGAAAGAGGTTTTGGAGGGAATTCCAACATAAAAGTAGGTCTTTATATGGTGGCAGAAAGCATCTGCTCCTTTCTCCCATAAAAGAAAAGAAAGAGAGTGAAAACTCTGGGAGAATGAAAACTGTGTTCCTGCTGCCAATTGACTGACAACTAAGCTACCTGCAGGTCTAGCCCAAAATTCCTAGTGAATTATTCTAGGGACCCCCCAGAGTTATCTAGCAACTATGAACAAGGTATTATGACATTTGTCCTCTTAATGTGGTTGCTTGGATACTGAGGCCTCAACAGCTCATTTAACAGATAGGAAACTACAGAAAGATTGCCTTAATGAGTCATCTAGGCAAAGTGTTGATAATGATACTGACGGAGAGATTGAGATTACAGATAGAAGAACATCTAGTGGATGACAAAGCGGGATTCAGGAAAGATAGAAGTACCATATAGCAGATATTGGCACTAAGATTGATAGCGGAGAAAGCTTGGCAAAAGAACAAGAACATCTACAATTGTTTTGTTGATTTTCAGAAGGCATTTGACAGTATAGATCAGAAAGTGACTTGGGTGGTGTTGGAGTTGTACGGAGTGGATAGCAGACTGATTCGGTTGTTGAAGGATATCATTGATAATGTGGAGGCAGTGATGAGAACGTGCGGAGAGTTGGAAAGTTGGTTTGGAACGAGTAGAGTACGAGACAAGGAGATCTGATATCACCGAGTTTCTTCATCACGCACCTTGAGAGAGCGACGGACAAGATCAAGGGAGAGGTACAAGGGATATCAGTGCCTGGGATGAGAATTAACAACTTGAGGTTCACAGATGATATAGTTATTATCGAGGAAGATGAAGAGAAGTTAGCGAGAATGGTGCAGGTGCTAAATGAGGAAAGGTAGCAGTATGGACTGATTATGAATATTGATAAAACAAAGACAATGGTATTTGGAAATAAGGATATAGGAAGGAAGATCAGTGTAGATGGGATTGAACTAGAGAATGTAGAAAAGTTCATGTATTTGGGGAGCAACATGATGTAGACTGTAAGAAGGAAATAGCAACTAGAATAATGAAAGCAAGAGTGAGTTTGAAGGCAATGGATAAAATCTGGAAAAGTAAAGAGATTAGCTTAGGAACGAAGCTGAGCGCCTTGAAAACGTGAGTATTTAGCAGTATATTTTACGGATGTGAGACATGGGTGATAACAAAAGATTTGAAGAGAAGGATATTAGCGTTCGAGAGAAGTTGTTATAGAAAGATCCTGAGAATTGGATGGATGCAGAAGGTCAACAATGAGGAATTATATAGGAAGAGAACCTACTGTAGAAGGTTATACAGCGGACGTTACAGCTATTTGGGCATATCTGCAGAATGAACAACGAGCAAAAAGTTAAGACCCTAGTATTCGGCATAATGGATGGTTCGAATAGGAGAGGCAGACCCCACAGAGAATGGGTAGATGATATAGTAGATTGGTGCAGAGCTAGTCTATAGAAACTAAGCAACCTTGCACTGGACAGGGAAAGATGGAAGGAAATAGTGAGGGAGGCATTGGACACCAATGGGCATTGAGCCCACGGTTGTTGTTGATGATGATGAAGCTGGCATTAGGAACATGATTATTATGTGCAGCAGGTGCCATGTGGTGTGTATGGCTATCTAGGAACCTTCTATGCCCAGAATCTTTATGGATCAACAGAAGCAGTAGTTCTTACTTGACAATTCCCAAGAAGATGCTTGAGGAAGCTGTCACAGACTCCAGAGTTGTGGAACCACTGGAGAATAGCATTAAAGGTATATAGTATTCGGGGTCCTGGGTGAGATATGAGCATTTGTCGGGTGAGATGAAAATCTGGGAATTGTGAACAGCATCAGCTGAAGTTCATGAAAGTAAGAGTTCCTGAAACAACCTGATTTTTGATGG